TATATATCCTGTTATGGCACATAACCACCACCACCATGGCACTGTAAGATAAGCACTTGAATGCAAGGTCACTTTAAACCACAAAGTCAGTGGGTCAAATTTGAGTGGTTCAAAGTTACCAAGTTGCTCATCAGAAACCCTATACAGGGTTGCTATGAGTCGGAACCAACTTCATGACACTTAACAACTATATATATATATTTAAATGAGAAAAAATTAAGTACAGCTTTTATTAATTTATGAAGATTCTGATTTTCAGTTCTGTAAAAATCGTGCAAATAAGAAAAAATATATGCAATTTCTCCTATTACTAAACTGAAATTCTGAAAAGCTATTTTTGTTTGCATTCACATGTCTCTGGAATTCTTTTTTATTTTTTTATTTTTTATTTTAACTGCTTCCTAGCCATGATAATTTGGCTTCATCTTCTAAACATATGCATAATCAATCACTTTGTACTACTGACCAAGATAAAAATGATTTTATAAAATTTTAGGTAAAGATATTATTTTAAGTAAAATATCTCAGAATAATGCTCTTAAGGTAATAAAGTGCATTACTGACCTTTCAGTACTGAAAATAAAATCAGGTGCAAATGAACCTGAGTCAAAGCCTTTACATGACCTCTATTTAAATTTGAAAGTCACAATGTGGATGGATGCAGAGCTAGATTTAAGGGGACACAGAGGTTCATGCCACTCAGGTTACATTTAAATATCCAAACACTCTACATCTCTTAATATCCAGAATTCAGATGACTCAATTTAAAATGTTCCTTTGAGCTAGATGGGGATAAGGAAAATAATCATTTTCTTAAAGGCAAAGAATAATTAAGGTGATTTATCTGGGAGCTCTACGCTATGGGACAATTTACAATGTCACTAAAAAGAAAATCACTTTTATTACAGTAACATCAGTTATATGAGGGGCTTTAAAAGTTCGTGGAAAATGGAATGAAAAGATAATAGAATTTTTCCACTCATATTTTTATGCTATTCATTATCATTTTGAAAATACTAGTATAAGTTTTAACAACAGATTTTTATCTATCTATAATCAATGACTTATATAAAATTAACTATCAGAATAAGGTCCTCCATCTTCATATAATTCAACTAATTCTACTTCTTTGTTCTCCCATTCTAGCCTTTTATTACTCCTAGGCTAGACTGATTTCCAGACCTTTTAATTCTATCTTCTCACACAAACAACTTGTACCAATACTCCTTGGATCTGGTCATCTAATTTCCAGATCGTCAATTTCCTTCTGATGACAGCCTATGCCACCACAGGTCGGGCAACAGCTGGTGAAGATGAAGCATATTTTAGGCACACACATTATCTGATGCCTTTTATAGATCATGCAATTTGATCAGTATAAGGGCCAGTGAATTATCAAATCATATTACAAATGCAGACATGACATCCAGTGAATGTCGAGTACCTGGAGTCCATTAGGGGGCCCAGATGAGCCTGAGATTTTTCAGTACTGAGTGGAAAATTAGGAGCAGCAGCCTTTCCCTCCAGGTTCCCACAATGCCATTTCTGCTTCAGGTCCTGGATTTCATGTTCTAATCTACAAACAGATGGGAGCCACACGAATTCATTTGTTAACAGTATTTCCTGAGCATCTTCTTTATGTGAGACATTGATCAGGAACCCTGGGAGGATCCAGACAAAGCTCTGTGTATAAAAATCTTTACTCTGTGGTAGCAAAGGTGCCACATATGTTTAAGACAAGCTGTGAGGTGACACTGGGCCACAAAAAGAGTTCAGAACAAGGACTGCAGGTGTCTAAAAGTTGGAGACAGAAGTCCTCAGAGGTAGATGTACATGATGCTAAGCCCCTTACTCCTGCTTCAATAGAACAATTGTCTGTTAACCACATATTGAGATTTCACTAAAAAAAAAAAAAAAAAAAAAAAAACTGACATAAGAAATCTTTGCTCTGTAGAGTTTTTAAATCACCAATCAAGAAGAACATTCATGATCTATTCAGTGGCCATTGGGAATCTGAACTTTTGGAAATGATGAAAGGCCTTCCAGGTGCACAAGCAATATGAGGAGTCCTGGTGTGGCACTGTGGGCTAATGTGCCAGACTGCAAAGCCGTCTGAACTGCAAGGATGGTGGTTGAAGCTCACCAGCTGCTCCTCAGAAACCCTATACAGGGTTGCTATGGGTCGGAATTGACTTGATGGCACTTAACAACAACAACAAAGCAATATGAATGAAGGCGTGAAGCCAGGAAAACCAGAAGTCCACTTTAGTTAAAGAAGAGGGTATGGGAAAGGGGAGGAATAGGAGAGACATAACAAGGAAAGTAAGGTGAGCACCACAGTAATTAAAATAACCCTAAAATTGTGGAACTAAACACTTCTCTCTAATGATAAAGAATGAATCTAACATGATATCAAATGTACCTTTCTACTGGCACACGCATGCTTGAAGCTGGACCATCAGGCTAGAAAGGCCAAGTTTGTAAGTAAACTTGGCCAGAGGGAGCATTAGATCTGGCTAAGGGCTGCAGTCACTCATTATGTGAACTTGGTCAACTTACTTCAGTCTGACTCTTAATTTCTTCATGTATCACATGAAAGTCAATTAAATCACAGATTCTAAATGTTAAAGATGATACACCATAGTATCCCCAGCTGGGTCATTAGAGACAACTTGACTGGTCTATCTTGAAAATGTAAGTCAATCTCTGAACTCTCAGACATATGCTTGTTATCATGGGGTCATGAGAGTTGACACTCATGGGTTTCATAGAAGGCACTACCTAGCTTAACTCAGGCTTTTGTCTGTCTACTGATTAGCATGAACTTACTGAACAGTAACTCGCAGACTATATGACATTTTCAAAAGAGGAAGTTATATA